CCAGCATAGACACTTGAATAAAATTAAATGACTTGTCATATATTTTGGGGTGTATACTTGTCATCAAATGTTAAGTGTTACCTGTCTCCTGATCAGTCGTGACCGCAGCTGTCAGACCAACCCCAGATGAGCCTCGTCCAGTGGTGGGAATTGCTCTTGGTGCCGTGAACAAAACATACCGAAGCAACTGAGACTTCGCTACTGAAGGATCACCTGAAATCAAATGAAAAACACTGCACAATGGGCCCAGAAATGACTAATTTATATAAACATGAATAAGTTTATATAACTACACACTAAATTTAAGTAAAATTCATTTTATTTATATAAATAGATCAAAAGAGTTAAAAAATAAAGATTAAAAAATATTTAGATTAAACAAATTTAATTACATATATACACACTTTTTATAGTCTATAATAGATTTATATATACAACTTAAATGGACCCTTTTTACATTTCCAGGTTTCTCACAAGCGGAAGACATTATAGAAGAAAACTTCTATAATGCTGAACCGGAGACTACATCAAATAAATGTGGATTTCTTTTTTTTTTTGCATTCCCATTTGCTCAAAAAGTAAAAGAAAAAGCTCCATGATAGTATTTTTACAACTGTCAAAAAAAAAAAAAAAAAAAAAAAAAAAAAAAAAAAAAAAAAAAAAAAAAAAAAAAAAAAAAAAAAAAAAAAAAAAAAAAAAAAAAAAAAAAAAAAAAAAAAAAAAAAAAAAAAAAAAAAAAAAAAAAAAAAAAAAAAAAAAAAAAAAAAAAAAAAAAAAAAAAAAAAAAAAAAAAAAAAAAAAAAAAAAAAAAAAAAAAAAAAAAAAGTGTGATTGATAACGGCAAATCTACCATCACAACCACAGCCATTGAATTAGAAAACACTCACAGCAACATTAACTAGTTTTTTTTTATTTTTTTAAAGCAAAGATAACACAAAGTATAGTGGTATAAATTATTATTATTTTTTTTAATAAATAAATTTTTACAGGATTTACAATGACATTAGATTCTGTGAAAAGGGTCCATATGATAAAATTTCTATGAATTAATGCATAAATGGCACCTAAAATGGCACCACAAAAACACTGAAATTAAGATTAACAAGTCCAGACTTTAGGGAAATTATATTGTTTTGTAAAAATAACAGTTATAAACATGACGCGTTTACACCTTACCTATGAGCAGAATATTTATGTCTCCTCTGATGCGTGTTCCATTCTCCAGGTTGGTCTCATTGCCTCCCAACAGCAGACACAGAATGGCCTTCTTTATGTACTCATGGCCATGAATACTGGGAGCCAAAGAATGGCTCAGTTGCTCAAAGACATCCTGAAACATACCAATACACTTACCTTGCATACAGTAGCAAAGATGAAACCGATCAGAGCGGCATTTCCCAAAAGCATCATAAGCCTTAATACTTAGTAGAAACCATTGGCACCAGCTTATCCTTAAAAAAAAAAAAATTGCAGCCAAGTTTAGAATATTTCAGTTAACGTTGTTTGCGCCTCTTCTTACTTTAGAATGAGCTTTGCAAAACTTCTTTATCTTGGCAACATCATCTGCAGAAAACGTCGGCACAATCTCCTTACTCATAAGCTTCACATTGTTAGCCAACAGGATTGTTCTGCAGAGAATCACAAAGTTCACCTGAGGACATGAAATCCCGGTCCTGATCTTGGGAAAGAGTACAAATATACACACACCTGAAGGTCCCAGAGGTGAAACCGCCCTGTTTCGCAGGCAAGCAACGGTAGACCCCTACAATCTGCACACGGTCACCTGGTTTCACCCGGTCAACAAGGTCATCGTTCGCAATGATGTCAACAGAACGTGGCAGCTGTCCAGCAGGGGCTTTCTCTGGCATCTCCTGAATGGTCAGTGTCTGGTGGTCCTTATAACAGCACAGCCCAAACTCTGTCTCCAGAGGATTGTTTTCTTCATCCTACACATGCAAAATTTATTTTAGGTTTCTTAACATTCTTAATACTAAATCAGTGGTTAACATGGTATTGGGATTTTTCCAAAGAGAACATTCTCCTGGATCAGCATCCATATTTCTGTGATAGGAATGTTACAGGACCAGAAAAAGAGGATGATCTAGGAACATCTTCACACACACACAAATAATTTTGTATTTATTTATTTAAATTTAATTACATATTTACTTAATAAATTAAGCAAATTAATTTGTTCGACAAATAAAATTAAGTTTAATAAATTAAATACATTAAATAAACAGTCACATAAATAGTTATGTAACTAAAATACAATTTAATTAAATTGGTAAATAACATTTTACATTTACATACATGTTACATTTTATAAATACAGTTTAAGAGAAAAAAAAAAAAAACATTAAATATATGGCCCATACAAAATATAACTCACTTTAGTTGGATAGATGGCACTGGAAGGAAAAGCGTCCAGTGAGGTAAGATCAGTGTATTTTCGTTCCAGGGTTTTCTTGGTGGCTGGACAATAGTGGACACTACGCATAATTTTGGGCCTGACCAAGGAACCTACAGATCACATCAAAATTACAAGTTAGAAATGACAACTTCTGCCCAGCATAATGCATAATGATAATTAAGGTGGAGTAAACATCACATTATGTGCGTATCTACAGCTCTGACCTAAACACATTAATCTAAAAATCAGGGTCTGTAGATCTGAACAAAATTATTTTTTAAAACTACGTGAAATTACAAAGCATTAAACCGTTATAATGAGCATTGATCATCTGAAAAATGAAGTAAATCCTACTCACATTTGGTCACAATGCCTTCCACACACACAAGGCTTCCCAGAAAGCGTGCAATTAGAGTACGTGGAGAGACATGTTTGTTCCCAAAGCTGCCCTCAAAACCAACATGGAACTCTTCAAACTGCTTAGCGTAAGTGGCGTCTATTGAAGCCACAAGATCTTTTAGGGCTTTTTGGAACGCAACCAGCTCAGCAAAAGCATTATTCAGTAATCTATTGACAAGAGGCCATTAATCAGATGAGCTTCAAGGCCAAACTCATGGACAAAAATATAAATAAAATACTTACTCTTTAGCTCTTTTTTCACTTTTTCTTCTCAGGTCATTAATGTTTACAATAAGACGACACTGGCCCTCAGACACCATACTCCTAACCTTTTCATGATAAATGCCCTGGTCTTGCTGTAAATGACAAAAAAAGATCAATTACACTGAATGTGACGGAGATTGCAAAGGTGTTAACACAAATCATAAGACCCACATCAAGTCAAAAACAGAAAGACAAAGAATAAAAGATATCACATCATCATCCAGAAAGTCCAGGTACTCCCTCTGAGACTCTCTCAGCTCAAGATCCTCTAATCCAGTATCCATTTCCACTACACCCGTGTCAGCATGTGCGCTGCTATAAAATACAATATCAAATCATCAGCAGTTCAACATTGATAATCAAAGACACAAACATGACTGACAACCAAACGTCTGTCTTTGGAAACCAGGTGAACACACGCCTACAAATCAATTATGTTAATTAGGTTAATTGGAGCCATGTGATTATCAGTTATACAACCACAGATACCTGCATCCAGTGTAACTGCTGAACATAAGATGAATTTGATAAAAGTGTCTTCTCTTCCTGAGCTCAATAACTACAAACTATGTATCTCCTTAAAGTGCACAGCTTGCTTGAACAAAAAGGACAATGTAAGAGAGGAATGTGGCCCTTGTAAAAATGTCACATGCAGTAGTGTATCTTTTTTCTAATGCAAAACTCCCACAGTATTAATTTATTCTTTTATATTTGACAAAGCCAGTGAAAAGAGACATCTGAGATATTTACAAGCTATTATAATAGGAATAAAGACGTTACAGTGTCTTCGTCTGACAATGATTTATTCAGTGAAGTAGAGTTTATTTCGTGCTGCGGGATATTTAGCTGTTGACATTGACACATAGTTGCATAATCCGCATATAAATTACCAAATTTTCTCTTATTACCACATTCCAGGAGGTAGGAGCCTCGGGCGACAGACAGCCCATTTCAAGCAATTCGGCGTTTTGAACGAATCTTTTAAGTAAATGAATGGATCTTCTTTTGTTCAGTTGACTGAGGTTCACACGAGCAAATAACATAGAGTGAGCCCTCTTGAAGGAGCTGGATTAAACGTCTCCTCCATGTACAAGTATCTTGGGAATGGGATGCTGTTCGTGATTTGTAGGCCTATTCTATCTTGTCGAAATTTGTGGGTGAACGTTTATTATGGTTAAACTAGTGTCGGACGCGAAACACTGCATTCTGCAGCTTTGAAACATTTACGTGATTCATTTAAAAATTCCTGGTTCGTCGCTAGTTTCGGATCAGTTTTATAATGTATGCTCATTTTTAATTATTTAAATGAATTTTAACACTTATAGGAGAATTAAATCTAATAGCTTAATTGACTTAGTTTGCCAAACCCTGCCCAATAACTAAGTGCACTTTTACAAAACTTTCATAATTAATGGTGTTTAATTATTTGGAGATTATTTTATATTTCTTTCTCAGTACTTGCTTTTTCACTTTACTTGTTTCGGTTGACTGTGTTTTTTTTATTAATCATTTGTGTCAATGATACAATGACTCATTCATGATAAAAAGACACTTTTTGCCATCTACTGGCATAATGAAGTAATATTGCAGAGATTCACTGAAAAAATCAGTGAATGAATCTTTCTAGTGAACTGAATCAAAAGAAGCGAGTCGCTGGAATGAATCAAACACCATGCTCTCCTCAATGACGTAGGTTTAGAGCCAAAACAGAGCCACTTCTGTTGCGGACGCAAATCTGTGACCTCAGACAGCAATCTTCACAGACAGACATGTGGATGGGAGGTGAATGTTGGACTGAAAAAGAAACGTTGTAGTGAGTATGTTGGAATTATGTATCCAAACAACTAGGTCAGAATGTCTGAAAACACTTTCAGGTAGTTCTCTGAATTTGGGTGTCATTACTGGGATCACGTTTTTTTCAAACATGCCCTCACACAGGTTTGGTTTCAGTCTAGCTCAAGTCACACCTTCTGACATGACACAAAGTATGTTTACCCTCCTTCCTCCTTTCTCCTGGTCTAACCGGTTTAGCTTTTTTAAGCTTGTTGATACCAATCTTTCATTTACAAACCATGAGAGATATGTAACATTTTTTCTCATTCTTGCAACACATGGACCAGGCATAGCATATACAGTTTATGTGTATTACTGTATATGTTATCAAATTATATTTTTAAGTCAATTAAAAAATATATATATATTAAAAAAAAAAAAATTTCCCCCCTCTCTTATGTTAGCAGGTGACCTGTATTTGCACGCTTGTATATAAAAAAGTTATTTCATAAAATGATGCACATACATGACAGTTTGTTTCTTACACACATAAAAAAACGCTCAGTTGTACACAATAAAATTGTAATTTAAGGGCACTTACAGACATATTGATTGTCTTTTAAACTAGGGTCCATGTACCCTCAGGGAGGAGTAAAGGCTGATTTATACTTCTGAGTCGGACCTACGCCGTAGGCTATGCGTCAGTTTTCATTTATACTTCTGCGTCGTTGTCCGCGTGCAGTGCACATGCAAACCGCTAGTCAGCAGTGTCCACGGGCATGTTGCTGGTGTTGTTTTGACTTAAAGTCCACCCATTTTCCAACACAATATTCGAAAGCCCCCGTATTTCTGTTTCTTGTTTGCAAACCTTTTATTAACATAATCTGGAGTGTTTGTATATTAAATAGATTAATTAAGATTCATTTTGTGATTCTATAAGGTTTAAGATTCTGTATGTACTACAATTAAAAAATATATATATTTTATTTTAAAAAAAAAGAATAAATAATATTGTCATCCTGAAATTTTGTGAAATAAAATTGAGATTTTTTTTTGTTTGAGTAAAATATAAATATAATTTTGCAACAACAACAAAAAAATTCTCATTCCTTGCAACTTTTATGTGATAGAGTAGTTTTACTTATGTTGCATCTTTTTTCATAATTAAATTCACCTTTAACTTGCTTAATAATGGTGGAATAATTTTCTGTTTTTGAGAAATATTTATTATGAAAACAGTTGTCTCCCACCACCATTTTAAATGTTTATTTGAAAACTTTGAAAATTTTACGATGGGGGTCCCTCACAAGATGATCATCATATAATGGGAGATTTAGGCATTAAAAAGTTAAGAAAACTCCTGCTCTAAACATGTTTGCAGTTTCTTATGTAATTGCATGTGTTTCTGTGTTTATTTCAGGTATTGTGTTAATATGTGCCGTCCTGACCAATGCGTTGGTTCTCATATGTGTGGTGGCTGCTCACATGTCGCAGATGGGCATGTCTGCGATGGGTATGGGTGGAACGAGCTTCATTGACGCCATCATTCCTTTTGAGGGGGTGGAGCTGCAGCAGGTGCGTGAGCTTGACATGCAGTATGGACAGATGAGAGCACCAGGAGTATATGGAGGTGTGGCCTTCTGCCTCACTTTTGGTGCACTTTCACTACTATTTGTAGTGTCCAGCACCAAACCCCCCCACATGCTTCCAAGGAAGCTGCTGATTGGACAGTTTGCATTCCAGATCATTGGTGCAGTGGGTTACGTGGTTGCGGTAGGTTTGTACCTGCACTTCGTGATCTCAGTGAACTCAACTGATGTGTGCGTCCGGCGTGAACGACTGTATGCTCGTAACGGATATACCTGGATGAACTGTAGCGTAGGTGGGGGGGATGCAGCTGTCGCACTGTTTGGAATCATAACTGCAATTCTGTATGCTGTTGGGACCTTTTTAACGGGACAAACACTCCAGGATGTCAGTCGTTACTTTAAGGAGCGTGACCGCTATGAAGCTGAACGCAGAGAACAACTTAGAGGTCCTCTGAAAACACCTCTTGATCCTGACACTTATGTCTGAGTTGTGCAGCAAAAATATGGACCGTAACCCTCTTGAATGGATGTATATAAACTGGCTTTAATTTTTGTTTTTTCTTTACTTTTTTAAAACATTTTTGACTGTGAGAAACCTGTTTTTAGAATTTTTATGCATATTATAGTTTCAGGCTTCAGTTCAATATATTTTTACTGATGAAGTTTTTCAATTAATAAACACTGAATAATTCCTGTATATAATAAATTGAAACTGTGGCATATGTATTTTATATATATTGTGAATACAAATATATATTCACTGTTTTAATAAAAAAAAAAAAAGTGCAATAGAGTGCTGCAGCTTTGACGGCAAAACCCAGAAGACTAATTTGCCTTTGCTTAAGATTTTACTATGGATTTTTAAAATGGGGTTTTTCAATTCATGAGTAAAATAAGGTCTGTGATAAACATCACTTGGTATACTTGGGCGTTTTGCTCTACAATGTAAATTACACATACTTGCACTTCAAACGTTCTGATGTAGTTAATTATTCAGGGTTTCTCTGGGTTCCACAAATTTAGGCCTTAAAGGTTTTAAAATGGGGCCATGGCATTAAATGTTGCATGCACTGAAAAATTAACATCTTTGTCAGTATTTTTGTCTTATTTTCCAATTCAAATATCTAAACATCCTTAAATCCTTAGATGCAAATTAAGATATGAAGGTTTTTTTTTTTTTTTTTGAGAAAGTGAGTTTATTAAAGCAAGAACAAACATCTGTAAATGGGGTATAAAAACTTGTTTTTCCTTTGAATTAAGTTGATTTCTCTGAGCCCATTGGCAGATATTTGTCTTTTTTTAGTGATCATAAATTCACTTAAAGGAGACATATTATGCCCCTTTTTACAATATGTAATATAAGTCTCTGGTGTCCCCAGAATGTGTCTGTGAAGTTTCAGCTCAAAATACTCCACAGATCATTTATAATATAATTTTGAAAATGCCTATTTTGAGTGGAAGCAGAAACACGCTGTTTTTCAGGCCTGTCTCTTTAAAAGCAAATGAGCTGCTGCTCCCGCCCCCTTTTCCAGAATACAGCTGCGCCATTACAGCTTGGACCTGCTAAAAAAACCCATCTGTTTTGGTTCTGATTATCATGTTTATCGCACTGAAATCATGCGTTTTAAACCATATTAGTTTAAATTTCTGATATACGGTTTTCTGAGCGCACACATCCGAAGCACACGGACAGAAAGCTGCTGTCACAGCATGTGAGTACTAAGTTAAAAACACACGAGTTACAAAAACAATCGGTTATGTCTGTGAAGGTAAACAGCTGGGAAATAAATCACATGTTTATTTTAGATCTGTGTGGCAGCAGCAATATACAGTAAATAAACTTAAAACCTGGAAAAGTCAGATTGTCATGATATGTCACCTTTAATTTTGATGAATTTCCCAGAAAACAAGACATCTTATCAAAACAAGACAAAAGTACTGAGAAGGAACATCACTTTTTGTGCAGTGTGATCAGAAGGTACAGTAAAAGTTATTTCCATATTCTAGTTAAGCAGTTTATTTTGTAAAATTAAATAAAAGTAATGGAGATCACTGCTAGCGTGACTCATTGTGTTCTCCTTAGACATTTACATTTAGAGAACATATTAATGTGCTGTGTTCCCCTTTAATGTATTCCTTAAATTTTCTTTGAAAGTCTTAAATGTACCTTCATAAACTTGCAGAAACCCTGATATTACAAACATAATGTACATTTTTAGAAAAATTAACATAACTGATTCAAATTTTGCGTTTTCAGTATGGGTTTGCGTAATTTACATTATAGCTCAAAACATCGTTTCGTTAATTTATATTTACCACAGACCTTATTTTGCTCATAAATTGAAATACCCATGGTCAATTAGTCTTTGGGTTTTTGACGCCATTGCTTTGAATATTTAGTTATGCTGAAAATTGAGTTTACACAAGATAGTTCAGACAAAAATAAATATTTCGATTTACTCACCATTAAACCTTACTTTCTTTCTTCTCTGGAACATACATTTTTTTTAGATCTCTCCTTTTTTTTTTTGGTCCAAAAATGGTCACTAAAATGATTTGGTTACCAGCGGTCTTCAAAATATCTCCTTTGGTATTCTGCAAAAGAAAGTAAGTCATACAGGTTTGGAATGACATGAGAGTGAGTAAATAATGACAGAATATATTATTATTATTATTATTATTATTTTGGATGAACCTGTCTCTTTAAGCTTGTTTATTTTTCTATGACTGATTGTCCAGAAGGGGGCAGCAGATGCACATGCACATTTGGCCCCTCAGTCTGACCTCACATTTACTATGATGTACTACCTTAAATAGCCTTACTGCTGAATGTGACTTTTGCATTCATTAAACAAACCTTTTATGTAATCTTTTTCTAGACATTATTAAAAAGGATTTTGAAGATGCCTCATGGATGCAACGTTTGGCATTAAATAGCAGACATGTTAAATAGCACTAACTGGAAGTACCCCACATTTTTCTGACAACTAAACATACATTTATGTTTGGTGAAACTTCAGCTGTCACACTCCTTCAGAGCTGTTTTTCAGTTTGTGATTGACAGGCATTATCTCACAAGTCTGGATACAGCAGGAATCTAGAATGCACATGCTGGTAATATTTAACCATTATGTCCCAGTTACAGTCTATGGAAAAAAACATACGTGAGAGCTCACATAGTTTCGTTAGTTATTTAGAAAGCAATGGATTACTATGATAATTGTGTGTATTTTAATGATACAATCTGTTCTATATCAGGTCTGACCTTTCCAACCATTGTGTGACTCAGGGCTTTTTCTTTGAAATAGGGAGGTGTGTTCCCTTGGTACTGTTTCTTTACTCATGCTTACCACACCACAAATGCTGACAACGGGTGAACATGCACATACACCACATCGGCCAAAGTACATGTGAGCATTTCTTTTCTTTTTTCATGTTTGCAGGCATATAGAAGTGTATTGAGAGGAGATTTCAACCGGACAGAAGGGTGAGTTCTTTCAGCTGTTTCTATATGTGTTCGGTGAAGACCGCACTCAGGTGAGCTCTCTGTATGTAATTTGTGTTTTTGTGTCTTTTTTTTTTTTTAATGGATCTAATTGGAGGTTGAAGGTTAAACACAGGTTAAGGATTAAACATACAGCAGATAAGTCACCAGACGCACATACACTGACACATGCTGGAGCACATGGTGTAGGTGTGCAATGCTGAAAGTGAAGGTGGCTAAACTTTAGGAAATCTGATCTGGTGTGAACAGGGAACACGGTGAGCAGATCAACTGTGTTTAACCGTACCTCTATATGAAGTATAAGGTTATATTATATTTATTTTGCAATAAATGGACAATAAAGCTTTGCTTGAAGTGGAGAATTGGTATGTTCGTAAGCAGGTATTTATACTGAGACGTAAATAGAAGCGAGAAGCAAAGTCCTCTCTGTCTCTTTATGTGTTGTCATTAGGTGTGTCCACTTTGTGTCAGGTCAGCTCACAAAAGAAACAGTCTGAGTGGCTAATTTTGAGTCTCACTTCAGTTCAGTGGATCTGTTTTGCCTTCTATCACATGGCAAGGGTCAGAGTGACCTATGTGTTTATGTATTGGAAGCTGTGTGGTCTTGCGCACTACATGTGTTTGTGGGTCAGAAATTAATAGGCAAAAATGGTAGAAAAAAAGGAACTATATTGATTGAACGTTGTAAAGCATTATTTGTGACTCTGATTACATATATTATAATTTGCAATGTAGTAGTGTTGTGAACTGTTTTTATCTTCTCAGAGGAAAAGAGATACTGAATGAAAAGAATAGAGGAAGCGTCTTTGGTGTGAAAGAGAATGTGTCAGAGCAAAAGCAGATTTATATCTTGTGACTCTTTTATGAAGCAACTGTGGCTGCTTAATCAGGCTGTGGTTTCAGTTTCCTTTGTGTATGGATTTTTAAATGCTGATATTAATGTTTGGTGAGACATTGCTTATGTTCTCTCTGAAGTCAGCGAGTCACTTTGTACAGTATCTTCTTCTTCGTTTATTTCTACTTTTCAAATGTCCTTTATTTACTCTACCATTCAAAAGTTTGGGGTCAAGATATTTTAAGAAGACTTTTTTCAGCAAGGATGCATTAAATTAATTAAAAAGTGAGACATTCAGATAAAAAGGACATTTATGTTGTTAGAAATACTCTATTTCTTTAAATAAAAGAATAATGAAAAGGAAATATTAAGTAGCACAACTGTTTTCAACACTGATAATAAGAAATGTTTCTTGAGCATCAAATCAGCATATTAGAATAATTTCTGAAGGATCATGTGACACTGAAAAATGAAAATTTAATTTTGCATTCACAGGAATAAATTGATTTTTTAAAATATATTTAAATAGAAAACAGATATTTTAAATTGCAATAATAGTTCTCAATAATTCTGTTTTTACTGTATTTTTTATTTGAATTCATTCTTTGTGGGCATAAGAGCATAAACCTTTGAATGGTAGTTTATAGATTTGATTGTTTTACCCTTCAAACTTCATCATATAACTCATAAATAATAGTATTGAAGCTTGAATAATAGTAATAAAACTATGAACTAGTAATCAGAAGTTTGATATTTACTTTGTGATTTACATATTTACACAAATTACAACTGTCACTTTGTTGTGGCATGCTTGAGATCTAATGTGAGATATGATGTGTGAAGAAAATGAAGAAAAGTCAAGTTAACAATGACTTAAGTTGTTTAGCTTGTCATTTCCAGTCAAGCTGTAATTTTATCAAATTATGGAAAAAAAAAGGGTGCATGAAAATCTTGCTATGCAATTAGGCTTTGCAAGAGGAGTTGACCATTTTATTACAGAAGTTATGAAAATACAGTTTCCACCATCAGCATTTAAACTATAGAACACTATTACACACATGGCTTTCATAAATTGACAGAAGTGTCAGTTTCTCTTGTAATGTATCTATGTTCACTGCATATATGTACTATGATAATTTATATGCATTAAAAACTAGTGAATGTGAAAAGTATCTATTAAGAGTGTATGTGAGACTAATAAATGATGTGTTAGAGAAGATTATTTTGTATATTAAAGTTACATTTTATCTTGAAGATTTCTATGC